ACAGGCCAAACTCACTGAGAAACTATATCAACCCTGTAGCCACAGAGCACAGCTCATTCCTCCAAGTAAGAATCAGCTCATAGGGCTGGAGAGATGGCTTGGTGGTTAAGAGCATTGCCTGCTCTTCCAAAGGTCCTGAGTTCAAATCCCAGCAACCACATGGTGGCTCACAACCATCTGTAACCATCTGTAACCATCTGAGTGTAATGAGGTCTGGTGCACTCTTCTGGCCTGCAGGCATACACGCAGAAAGAATATTGTATACATAATAAATAAATAAAATTAAAAAAAAGAATCAGCTCATAAAGCAGGTTTCCCCAATACACCTTTCTTTAAAAAAAAAAAAAAGATAGCACACTTTAGTCTAAAGGGGATTATTTCCACTTCTTCAGGCCTTCTTGTTTATTTCCAGATTTTACCAATAGGCCGAGGTAACTCTGCCCTAGGAAACCTAGCAGAGGCAGGAGCCAGCTGGCAGGGAAAGAGACAGAGAAAACACATGGATTTCAGGCCACAGCGATTAGTGGCCCTCTGCTGCTCCTGTGTGCACTGTTCTTTTCCAGAACTGAGATGTGACTGAGGAGAGGAGCAAAGAAGGCTAAATGTCACTAGACTTCTGCTTAACCCAGAGCATTTGTCTCTCAGGAAAAGACGCGGAGAAAGACGTTGCGAGCTGGCATTCCAGAGGTAGAAATGTCTGCCAACTTCTTTCCTAGGAAGGTAAGCATCTCCGACAGCGGAGGAAGAACTGAATCTGAGACTGCACAACATTAACACGTTCATTTCTTCAGGCCTCAGGGGCGTTCAATTCTAAAGTGACCTCATTTGGGTCCTCCAGCTAACTGAACTGATGAACCAAGTTCAACCCTGAACATGCTCACCTCCCACAGGGCAACAGCAGCTGCTACTGGAAGAAGCGACTACCACCCATCGCTCCATGGGTAGACACGAGAAAATGAAATAAGCTTTCCTGTCCCCTAACACCGGCAAAAGCAACTCAAGATGTCACAAGTGTGCCTTTAGTTCAGCTCTCAATTCCAAACCACAGAGAGTTTTAAAAAACCCTCCAGCTGGGCTTGCTTACTTTGGGTCTCCAACAAATGAACGACTCTTGCCCCACCAAGGCCAATCTTACAGGGCATTCAGCATACAGAAGGTGATCCTACAATGGTTCCCCCCCACAAGGGTGTGGTACTTCAGATATTCAGAAGCTCGAGACAGGAAATGCACTCCCTTCCCTTCTCACTAAAGAGAAATTCCCAGTCCAAGCCTGCTGCTTTCAGGTCTCAAGTATGTAAGCCGGTCATTCGACCAAACTGTTCCAAGAGTTACTGGCAGCCTCCATCCCTTCCAAATCAAGATCTGAAGCCCATGCAGAGCAAGACCTACACTTAACACTTCATTTTTTTGGAGACAGAGTGTCATGTAGCCCAGGTTGATCTAACTCTATTAAGCCTAAACTGGCTTAATAGAGTCTCCTCATCCAGAGTGCTGGGTGCACAGGCCTGCATCACCTGCCTAGGTCTGCTGTCCTTGTTTCCTGTAAAGAGCTGATCACAAAACCCACTGAAGACCTCATCAACCATGGAGATAAACTGACTTAGTGAGGAAGAGAGATAAAGCATCAGAGGGAACAATTTTCCAAAGTAGGAGGCAGCTCAGGGGTAAAGGTGCTCACCACACAAGCCTGAGTGTGGTCCCAGAAACCCCAATGGAAGGAGAGATCAAAAGTTGCTCTCTCGCCGGGTGATGGTGGCGCATGCCTTTAATGCCACACTGGAGGCAGAGGCAGGCAGATCTCTAAGTTTGAGGTCAGCCTGGTCTACATTGATAGTTCCAGGTCAGATAGGGCCACACAGAGAAACTTTGTCTTGAAATAAGGAAAAAATTCGCTCTCTGACCATTACTGGCAAGCCAAAACACTGTAAACACACAAACAAAGGTCTTTTTTTTTTTTAAATGAGTATGTGTCTATGAGACATACGCCACGTGTGTAGAAGATGCTAGTGAAGGCCAGATGAGAGTATGAGATCTACTGAAGATGGGAGTTACAGGCAGCCCAGTGTGGAAGCTGGGAACTGAACTCAGGTCCTCTGCAAGATTGGCAGGAACACTCTTAACTGCTGAGCCCTCTCTCGAGACCACCTTAAAATCATCCCAGCCGAGCAATGGTGGCACACCTTCAATCCCAGCACTTGGCAGAGGCAGGCAGATCTTGGTGAGTTCAAGGTCAACCTGGTTTACAGAGTCCCAGAACAGCCAGAGCTAAAACACAGAGAAACCCTGTCTCAACCACCCAACACATAGACAAATCATTCTAAAGTGGAAAAAGTCATCAAGCATTGTTTAACTAACCACCACTGAGTTAACTGCTAAAAAAGACTGCTTAGCCAGTCAGAGTGGTGCATACTTTAAATCCCAGCATTAGAAAAGCAGAGGCAGGTGGGATTGCTGAGGGTGAGGCTGGCCTGGTCTTACAGTGCCATCTCTTTACAAAAAGGAAGCAAGCCGACCTGCATCAAAATCCAAAGACTGCCAGGCATAGTGAGTGGCCTTTAATGCCACTACTCACACAGCAGGACAGGCACATCTCTGTGGGCTCCAGGCCAGCCAGGGGAATAGAGCGAGACCCTACCCCCAAACAAACAAACTCTGTGCAGAAGCTCTGCAGACACAGGCTGAGCGGTAACTGTCGTGGAAAAGCAAATGAATGCATATTTCCGGCAGACCTTCCCAAGCATGTTAGAACTAATCCAAGCTGCTAGACAGCTTCTATCTTTAAAGCAGGGCTTAAAGACTACGTGCCTTTTCTTCTTTTGAAAGCACAACAGCTCGGGGTTTGAAATATGACCACAGATCGTCTCTGGATCTTCCCTTAGGAGAGCAACATACAGCTAAAACTATGGTTCCTCCCCAAGTAAATTAGAGCTAAATGCACCTGTTACTGTGACATGTGCTCTAAACTGTTGGAAATACAGGCATTTTGCTGAACAAAACCACAAAAAACTCTGGAGAATTACAGCTCTCTCTTCACCACCTTGGAAATAATCTTTTTTTTTCCTATTAAAGAGACAGGGTCTCACTATGTAATGTTGGCTGTCCTGAAAATCATTATGTAGAATGAGTTATCTTTGAACTCACAGAGATCAACCTGCCTGTCTGCCAAGTGCTGGCCACTAATCTCCATTTCTTTTTTTTTTAACTTTATTTAACTTTATTTCATGTGCATTGGTATAATGATGTCAGATTCTCTTGAACTGGAGCTACAGACAGCTGCGAGCTGCCATGTGGGTGCTGGGAATTGAACCCGGGTCCTCTGGAGGAGCAGACAGCGCTCTTAACCACTGAGCCATCTCACCAGCCCCTAATCTCTGTTTCTTAAAAGTTATTAGTTTACATATTAAGACAATTTTATCTGGGGCTGTCCAAGATCTTTCCTGATTGTTGGTTCCACCAGACATGGAGGGACACACAACAATCTCAGCCCTCAGGAGTCTAAGGCAAGAACACCATGGGTTTGAGGCCAGCATGGATCACATAACAAGGTTCTAGGTAGTATTCTAGGTAGTATGATGGACCATGTGGTGAAACACCGTCTCAAAAGAAAAAAAAAGTCATGAAAAGAAAGACTAAATCCTGTTGGTCTTGAACAGATCAAATCAAAGGTCTCTTCAGCAACATAAGCCACTGTTCCTAGAGTGGACCTGTCTTACCCATTCTTAAACTTGGAGAGTCCTAAGGAATGGCTTCCTCTCTCTGAGTCATTTTGAAGGTCTTTCAGGGCATTCATCCCTTTCTCTAGACTGGCCTGGCTGGATCCTCTGCCAACTTTTCTCCTAGATTTGTTTGCTTTGCTCCATTGCTCTCTTCCTTGTTTGGTAGGTTTTGTTTGTTTTTTGAGACAGGGTCTGACCCTGTAGCTCAAGCTGTCCTAGAACTCATTTATGTAGCTGGGGCTGGCCTTACATTGCAACTCTCCTGCCTCTTCTTTCCAGAGTAAATGGGACCACAGGCCCAAACTACCACACACAGCATCTGGATTGCTATCTCTTGGTGTTGGCAAGGCAATCCCTTATTCTGTGCCTTCCTATTGCACAAGATTCCTGGAGGGCCAGGCCCAATTTGCAAGTGATCGGTTGAAGTGAACTTGGGAGGCCTGCCGGATGGTCAACACTACCCAACTGCACAGGCTGCAGAGGCTGCCAACCAAATCTTCACCCGCAAGCCAAAGGCCAACCCCCTGGGTCACCAAAAGAAGGCAAAGTTCTGAGATTAGAGAAGGAAGGCCAGTTCCCTTCATTAAGGCCCAGAAGATTTTTTCTCCCTCTAGAGAATAACCCAGAAAGGGGACAAACAACCTTTGCGCTTCCTTTCCCGTGACCAATTCAACATGTTTCGCCTCTAGTGTTGCTGGTAAACAGTTCCGGGTCATCTTTGGAAAAGCAACCCCCCAGGCACCTCCTTTTGCACTGCCTCTCTCTACAAGCCCCTTCCCTACGACCACGCATCCTAATCCGACTAGGGTGTGCTATTTGACAAAGCCCCCGTTCACAATCTCAAAGTCGCTCCCCCAAAGCCCTGGGCTGAAAGTTGACAGCGCCTCTGGAGCCACCATCTGGGCTACCACAGGAGGCATTTTACCCCCCCGACAATTCTCCCAGCCTGGGGCTCCCCCGACCTGTGCTGACTCCTCCAACAGAGTAAACAATGCTGCCAAAGGAGGATAACACTGGGCGAGGCATGCACAGGGCATGCCAACCTCGTCCCGGGGCACTGCCAGATAAGTCAACGGACGATTCCGCGCCGGATCCCCCTCCCTGACTTCCCTCCTCCAAAACCCGAAGGGCAGCTCCAGAGATGAGCCCTGCCTCGCAGAGTGCACGCTCTGCAGCACGGAGTCCGAGCGGCAGACGTGCCCGGGAGAGGAAGAGAGGAAGCAGCGGGTCGAGTATACACTGCCACGCGCCAGCGGCGATGGCGGGCAGGCCCGGACGGCTCACCTCCCGGCGTGGTGGAGAACAGCGTCCCGCCGGGAGTGGTGCAGTAGTCCTGAGGTAGCTGCGCGGCGTCGCTGATGGCCACGGTGCGCGTGGGGATGGCGCGGCTCTGGCTGGGCTGGTGGCCGCCGCCTGCCGACGCGGACATGGCTCAGGCGCGGGCTCGCGGCTTTGTGC